TGAAAGGTGAGGTTGGTGGGGTTTTTGGGAGGGGGGTGGGGAAATAACGTGCGTGAGTTGGAAAAAGGGGGTGGGGGGCTAAATTTAATTTGCCAGCTTCCTTTACATGTAATTTTTGTCTATATGTGCATAGGAATAAAACATAGATCTCTCAGTTTTTTTGTCTTTAATTATTAATTGGAATTGTTTCAGCATGATTTAATACACAATGTTCCTTGTCTGAACGGTGTGCTAGGAGCATAGTGAGGTACTGCACTTTCAGTTGACACGGACACAATTAATATAGACCTTCAATCGGGCTTCACTCCATTCTTATCCTCCAATAGGACCACTCGCTGAAGCCACAAGTACGCATTTACTTATGTCTTTGCAACTCCTGAAAATCAGGCACCTCCTGTTATTGCTTTTGTTATTTCGTGAAAATATCGGACTCAGAATCAGTTTATCGAAATTTATTTTCCACGCTCACAGATGGCTCTATTTGTTGTTGCATTTTGAAGAAACCAATACCCCCGGGGCAGTGCCACTGACTGAAGTGTCTTTAGGCCATTCCCAAAGGGGGACATATCTCGTTCGAGCATAGTAGAATTGTAAATGGGCTGATTCATGTCACGATCATAACTGTGCCTGATCTACAACAGGGAACTGCTGCTTTTTCTTTCCTGATCCTTACTATTGTCATTTTCCTCTACTTCTTTTGTATGTTTGTCACTCCCTTGTGACCTGCTATTTTGGGGTGCTTTGATAGTCGAAGCAGGCCTTGTACTGTTGAAGCTAGAGAGGTGAGCAGTCTAAGTCTGATTCCCTGCAAAGACTTCTCTGTTGACATCCACTGTCCTTGGGGCTCATATGACCTTATGCAGTTGCGAGCGCCGTAAAACCCTCTGCTATAAAAAAAAGAAGAAACCAAAATCATTTTTCCTTTATGATTGGATGTTCATGTGCAGACAGTGCTCGACAAACAACTTGTCTATTTCTGACATATGCAGTAGAGAAGTTTTTACCTGTGCTATGCCTCTAAGTCTGGTCTTGTGATTTTATTTGATTGAAATACAATGAGCCATTCAGAGGTTAAATCCAAAGAATTAGTCAGTTTGTTTTTCAAAAATCTATCTTTCTTCAGATTATAAACATGCAAAATCAAGCCAAAAAGACTAGCCTATATTAATGAAAGTTAAAGAAAAAAATAATAAAGCGTTAGAAAATGTTGTACTCATTTTGATTCCCAAGCAAACATCATCATCAAAAAAGTTTCTTGTAGATTGTCCCAAGTCTACCCCCGCTTCTTATGGCTTTTATTTTTCCAATGAGATCAAGATGTTCTTGGCCTTTATTGCTATTTAAAATGGTGGGCAATACTACGGAACATCTTACAATTCATCACCGACATTCTCCCTGGATCTCACCAAATAGGTTTCTGTAGCATCCTTTCCTTTCCTTTCGTCGTTGCTTGTTGGGGGGTG